GTTCTTCAATAGATTTGATCAGTCTGCCCCTCCCCCGGCCCAGACATCACTGCTGCAACCCCCCACATCCTCAACTTCAGTGGCATTAACATTGTACCTCATGAAGACTCTCGAGCAGCTGGTCCTGTCTCGTCTCTGCCCCGCAGTAGGCCCTTCAATGAACCCGCTGCAGTTTGCCTATCAGCCTGGCATTGGGGTGGATGATGCCATCATCTTCCTCCTGCATAGAGCTCTTTATCACCTGGAGAAACCCGAAAGCTCTGTGAGAAAGATGTTCTTTGACTTCACCAGCGCTTTTAACACCATACAGCCTGCGCTTCTGAGGGACAAACTGGAGTACATAGGAGATCATAGATCCACTAGCCACTTAGCGTCCGTGTTATGTGATGCCTTCTTCACCCATATGCTCTTCCAGTATTGTTTAGTTTAAGCCCTGGGTGGATATATTTTTGTGTTTTTACCTTGCCACAGTGTACAGAACATACTATTTATTCTTCTGGCTTCTTTTTCTCTTGTGTATCTCATTAGGTGGATAGTCAGATCTGTGCTTGGCAGTCACCAGTGCCTCAGGCAGTTTGTTGTACTTCCTAGGTATCCCTTTCTTCCCCACACCTTTCTGTAGCTCTGAAAGTTGACTAACCTCTCTCTGTGTTGCCTTGAGCTTGGCCTCCAGCCTCGTTCTCCATGGAGAGTAATGCTCTTTGTGGCTCATGGTGTTCATCTAGGATCAGTGTTGCTGTGGTGTTTATCAGCTGATTCGTCTCAGTTATGGTCCTAGAGGAGATAGTTTGTAGTACTGCATTCACATCATCTAGCAGACTTTCAAAGGGTACTTTGTACACCTGCTTCGGCTTCCAGCTTATTCATTAATTTCAGGTCATTTGCCTTTGCTGTAAGGGAATCTGTGTCATAAGGGCTTGGGGCTTGGTACCCAATCTTGGCGTGTGGGGATGTTAATGACATCCCCACTCTGACCTGTTGTCCTGGCTCCCCCTTGCTGCAGCATTTTTGTTGTACTTCATAGATCTCTAGTTGTGATAGCAGTTGCCATTTGTAGATGTTGGAACGCTGGGCTAGGAGTTGTTTCTTTGTCAGCATAGATTTTGAGTTTTAAAGCATCCATTAATTCGAGCCCCTCTTGCTGGCGTTAATTGTATAGTAGCAAATCCATATTCTCTGCTCGGCCCATCTATGTCTTGATCCAGTAGCCCATGTCTCATCAGGTTGCCCTGGTTCCCCAACACCTTTTGCGTTTTTTGTCATGCTGAGATAGGCTAGCAGCATTAAGAACCTTGGGTCCAGACTGGATATGTATGACCTATGACCTGCCAAGCTGATTCACTGTACAGCAACAGTAATCCTGGAGATGTTTGGATAAAAGGATAAAGATAAAGGCAACACAGAGAGAAGTTAGCCAACTAGCAGAGCTACACAGAGGGAACATGGTCAATAAAGGGGTACCAAGGAAATACAACAAGCTTGCCATTCCTAAAGCACTTGAAACTGTCAAAGAAAGACAAACAGATCAGGCCACCCAACTGAAGAGATACACCAAAGAAGTAGATGCCAGGAGAATAAACAGGATGTTCTCCACTAACCCAGCCAAGGTGTGGCAGGGAAATAACAGCAGGTCAGACTCACCAAGAGCCGAGATGCAAACATACTGGAAGGGCATATGGGAAAGAGAAGCATCACACAACACCGATGCCCGATGGTTAGTGGACTTAAGAACTGACCACAGCAACCTCCCTCAACAAGAAGCAGTAACCATCCAGGAAACCATCCAAACATCCAGGAAATAATGTCCAAGACTTAGAGCTGGACAGCACGGGGCCCTGTTATGATCCATACGTACTGGCTGAAGACGCTAACTGCACTCCATGAGTGCCTAGCAGCACAGATGACACAGCTGCTAAGGGATGGGGGGACCCACCCAGAATGTTTGAGACAGGGCAGGACAGTCCTGGCTTACTGTACAAAGACACAAGCCCATCAGCCTATTTCTGCAAAATATAAAAATTTGTGCAGTGGTGTGACGCCAACCACCTCATTTTAAATGTTACCAAAACTAAGGAGATGGTTCTGGATCCCAGATCATTGGGGGATCACAGTCCTGTGGTCATACACGATACACATATTGAACAGGTCTGCTCATACAAGTATCTTGGTGTGCACTTTTAGTTTTAAAGCTCATGCTGAAAATGTGTGTTCTCTTTACTTTTTACATAGACTCAGAGTGTATGGCATGGACCACAGGGTTATGTTGTTATTCTGTCAGGCTGTATTAGAAAGTGTGATCAGATATGGCATGTCAGCATGGCTTGGAAACCTTACTGTACAACTAAAAACTAAGCTGGCCCATCTGGTACACACAGCCATGAAGGTGATGAGGAGAAAACAGTACCAGTCCCTCCAGTCAATTTATGAGCAGTCTGTTTTCAGGCAAGCTCAGAAGATACTCACCAACCCATCACATATCCTGCACGTAGAATATGAGCTCTTGCCCTCTGGCAGACGATATATAGAGTTCCCCACTGCAAGCTTAACCAATTTGAAAATTAATTTGTTCCTGCCTCCATTAAACTTTGAAATAGTGCTGTTTGAGGCTGCAGGGATTGTGCAATAGTCTCATGGTGTTGTAGCACAGGGTATGTGCAATATGTGTTATGTATTTGTATGTGCAATATCTTGTAATGTGCAATGTGGAATATGTGCAGTTTATTATGTAGCTTGTTTTATCACACTATGAGGGCATGTTGTGCGCAGTGTATGAGTCCAAAATAAATTTCCCTATGGGGACAATAAAGTATATTGTATTGTGTTGTATCGTATCACCACTGCTGTTTTGCTTAGGCCTGAATCCCCTCAGTCAGATCATCAAGAAGACTGGCTATGGATGCCAGTATGCCCCTGAGAAGGTCCAGCACATAGTGGCTTGGTGTAAGATTCAAGTAGGATCAGCGTACATGGAGAGACACAACCAAGTGGCTGGGATAGTGTACAGGAACATTGGTTCCCAGTATGGACTCGAAGTACCCAAACCCTGATGGGCCACACCACCAAAGGTGGTTGAGAACAACAAGGCTAATATCCTGTGGGACTTCAGCTTCTAGACTAACAAACAGCTGCTGGCTATCAAGCCAGACATAGTGGTGGTTAACACCAGTAGAGGGCAGTGGTGGTAGATGTAAATGGTAAATGGACCTGCATTTGTATAGCGCCTTTCTATTCATCCAACCACTCAAAGCCCTTTTTACACTACGAGTCACATTCACCCACTCACACACACATTCATACACTGGTGGCTGAGGCTACCATGACGGTGCTACATGGTACTCAGTTTTTAACACACTCACACAAGCAATTTCGGGTTCAGTATCTTGCTTGAAGATACTTTGACATGCAGACTGGAGGAGCTGGGGATCAAACCGCTGATCTTCTGATTGGTGGATGACCCGCTCTACCTATGAGCCACAGCCGCCTGTTGATACCAGCTGACAGTTGAGGTGGTTCGGGCATTTGATCAGGATGCTTCCTGGGCGCCTCCCATTAAAGGTGCTCTGGGCACCTCCAGAATGTGCTGGTGGGATTATATATCTCATCTGGCTTGGGAACCCCTTGGGATCCCCCAGGAGGAGTTGGTAAGCATTGCAGGGAGAGGGACGTCTGGAGTACTTTGCTCAGCCTGCTGCCCCCACCACCCAGCCCCAGATAAGCAGTTGAAAACATTACATTTATGTTAACACAACTGTAGTTTACCACAAAGAGCATTTTGCACATGCACATTTTCTCAGTCAAATATATTCTATTTCAGATACATACAGTGCATCACTTTCTACTGGCTAACCATGTAGATTTGCATGGTCAGAAATGAACAAAGCTGAACTTAGTTCACACTCTTAAACTCACCAAGTAAATGAGAGAACAAATAGGTGCAAATATTTACAAATTTACATATTGTTGCTTGTGTTTGACCACACAATTGGTCTGATGGCAGGTAGGTTGGTTTGTTGGTAGTTTAGGTGGTTGATCCAGTTGGTGACTGACAGCCTAAGTGACATGTAAGAGCTGTTTCTAGGACTGCACTCTTTTGGACAGAGACCTTTGTCCAGACCCCTCTAGGCTGTTCCTGGGACTCTGCAGTCCCAGGAACAGCTAAGATACTGCACAGAACCCTCAAACTCCTAGTCCTGAGCTTGAGGAAGACACACAGTACCCTTTGAAACTATGTAACATATCATATAGACTATATATAGCATCATTTTCTTTGTGGGGATATGTGCACAGTTTCATGGATGCCTTCATGAATATGAACATCAATGTACAGCTGTCAATTCTGTCATTAAAAGGAGGTACGACCATAAATGTCAAGGTAATCGAGATCTAGTGTTCCTTCTGAGCAACATGGCAAATTATCAATGATTAGAGACACACCTTCTTTGGCTCTTTGGCCTGCTGGTGGCTTTATCTTTAAATGCTATGATAATGCAATCACTAACATGGAGAGGGTACTGAGTCACCCTTTGAATTGTCATTACACTCTTTCATGACTAGTGAAGCCTTTTGCATTGAAGGCTCATGAGCTAAGACAAGGACACCTAACAAGTTATCTAAGATGGCAAAAACAATTTTGGTGGGTAGAGTATTAGTTCCTCCAATTGTTTCTTTGACTATAGCTCTGTATTTATCAGTTATGTTCTCTGGCTCACAGTTAATCACTTGTATTTCTTGTTTTTCTTCTTTTTTTGTTTCTCAGTGTCAGATCTCTTTTCCCCTGTTTTTGCATACACATTTTGTCTTTATTAATGTCTCTGAACTCTTTGTGCTTTCTATGTTGTATCATCTGTTTACAGAATTAATTTTCTTTTTGTTTTATCATTTTCATTGGTTTTCTGTTTTATTTTCTCTATTTTTTTCATTCCCAACACAACTGATTGTGAAAATACTGAGTGACCCTTTCTCTCCTCTTTCTTCCACCACCCCTCCATCTGTACCCCCAGGATGTTCAGATAGTTAGTACGGACGAGAGCCAGGTCTTCCTCGCCATCCAGGAGTGGTACCAGTCAGACACATATAACCTGTACCAGTCTGACCCCCAGGGCGTCTACTACTCCATCGTCCTGGAAAATGTTCGCAGCACCAAGCAGCCAGAGGAAAATGTCCTCATCGACATACTTGAGGTAAGATGGGGTGGAGGAGTGGGAACACCCTTTATGGCCATGGACCATATTACACTGCGCAAACAGACTTAAGTTTAATACATTAATGTTCTCTGTAATTATAATGTAGCCCTGTGTACACAACTGGGTCCAAATCCAAATCCAAAGAGGGTTTAAATGGCAGCTCCATCCCCTCTTGGGACTCTTCACCTCCATAGAGTGTTCTCTCAGATTCCAGTGTCTGTGAAGTACTTCCAAGTTGATGTAACTGCAAGATAAGATAAAATAAGATAAGATAAGATAAGATAAGATAAGATAAACCTTTATTGTCTGTCACAAGTAACAGAAATTTGTCTTTGGCAAGCTCTGAAATAAAATAGGCAAGGACACACATAACACAATAGACATTATACAAGATATACGACAAAGCAGTGTATCTGGGTGGGACTTCATTTGTTATTTTAAACTGTTCAGGGTGGTGATGGCCTTGGGAACAAAAGTTGTGAAAAAGATCTACTTAATCATGCTTAAAGGATAAAGCTGACACTATTCTTTATTTTCTGTATTGTAAACAAATCCCATGAGAAGATCAATACCAACAATATGTAAGTCTCTTTCTGACTTTCCGACCCTGTCTGTGGCACTCAGCCCCAAACCCATTGGTTTCAACTGAAGATGCACACCTTCAAAAAATTTGGCACAAACATAGTTTTAAAATGGTTCGGTAATTTCGTTAAACAGGTGGTCACTGTAGTGTTTGCATATAATGAAGTTTACACTGATTACAGGGACAGATTGACCACTCAGAATTCTCAGTAATTTTTGAAACATGATTTTATATTGATTTTTTTAAATTATAAAAAAAAAACATTATACAGGCAGAAAAAGTTGCTAAAATTTTGAGGAAAACTTATCTCTGACACAGTATTCACAGGAAATAATCTGCTGAAAATATATCCAAATCACTTGTTTTACACAAACTTCCTGCAGTTATTATATTCACTGTTTGGGTTAATTATACAGTATAAATGTTGTCCTGTGTTGTTATTGTTATGCATTGAATACCATATGAAATACCCATAAAATATATCAATAAGTCAGGGGTCGTCAGTTCATTCAATGATAGAAAAGGGGTCCCCTGAGGCAAAGTGTGGGGAACCACTGGTGGAGATAGGTCCTTATTTCAACTTCACCAAGCAGCCGTTCCTCATCCATTGTGAGCTTTTAAAGGGAGCGAAAGGAATAAGGAGAAGCAGGGCGTCCAACAAAAGTTCATCTTAAAACAGCGCTTGCTGTCAGTTCAAGCATTACAATAGAAAACAATTCAATCCACCTGACGCTCACTTGTGTGCATTAGGGACATGGTGTTAGAGCAAATAACACAAAAACAAAGTATTCCTTTCACGTTATCTATTTTTAAATAGAGTAACTGTATTTAGAATAGAACCAACTTAAACTGACTTAATGGAACACAGTTATTCATATTTTGTATTTCAAATATGTAATGTTGCTTCTTGTATACCATTATTCCCCAACCCTGACTGCTGACATTGTAATGCTTCCAGCTGACTAGTGTTGGAACATTTGACTACTCAGCTTATATACTTGTTTAAATTTTCACTGTATGTTTTCACTATAAACAGTTCAAGAGAAAAGGACATTAGGATGAGGATTTAGTGATGTGTTTAGCAAGCCAAATTCTATCTCAGGTTGGCCTAAATGTACGTTCACACCAACAGCGACCAGAGTTTCCAAAATGGCAGAAGTCATTCATTTTCAATGGGAGCCCGACGACTTGGGCAGCTTGGGTGACCTGGTTGTCAGCCACGCGTCTTGGGCGACCAAAGCGACCGGAGCGGTCATAAAACTCGTTTAACTTTATGGTAATGAGCTCTGATGCGGTTCTGTGACAACCAATCGGAATGCTGATGTGCTTCGATGAAGCAGGTCCCAGAGAACAAGCCATGTAACTTTGGTTCCTACAGCCCACTTGTTCCAACAATGGATACCAAGAAGTTTAATTCTTGCGTTCGCACCCACTCAGACCTTTATAATGTGTTGCTGCTCAGTTACAGAGACCAAAATAAAAAGAATGAGGCTTGGGACCACGTCGCAGAGGTAGTTGGTTGTCTGGTGAGTTTTAAAGTGTGTAATGTTAGTAATAGAGGAGAGAATTGCAGGCTAATGTTGCGAGGTAGCATGCAAGTTTTCCTTGCTTGGTTTGAATGGGATGACATACAGAGGCAGCCACTTCAAATTTCCCACATCATCCGAAAGCCATCTGCCAACATCCAGCCAAATACCATCCCCCCCCCCCCCCCCCCCCCCCCACCTTTCTGGGGGTGTGCCTAGATTCCACAGTAACACGCCCATTTATTCAATTACAAGGTGTCACCATAAGGTGGCGCTTCCCTCACAGAAACACAAAAACTAACAAAGAATTAGAGGTGCTTGTACTAGTAGTATTTCCATCCTATGCTACATTATTAATCTACTCCACTGTCTCAGATGCCAATATTACACTTTAATTGCACTACTTTTATCTTTAAAGGTTAGTTTGGCCTATTAGCAGGGGCGGACAGGGGCAAAAAAGAGGCCCGTGAATTTAGTACCTGACTGGCCCACTCGGGCCGGGGCGGCGAGTGATGGCGGCGAGTGATGGCTGCAAATGCTGGCGGCGGATGATGGCGGCGGATGATGGCAGTGGATGCTGGTGGTGGATGATGACGGTGGATGATGGCAGTGGATGATGGCGGTGGATGCATGTGGTGCATGATGGCGGCGGATGCTGGTGGTGGAACAAAAAAATATACATGTAAACATTATTGAAGGGATAATGACACATCATTTAACCTGAGGCCTTGATTAGAACAAATGTAACATGTAAACATATGTAATATTTTTAATGTTAGTTAAAATAGTTAGTCTGCAATAGTTGCTTAATAGTGTCAAGACTGGTGAACATGTAAGTCACACTAATAATGATCATAACATAATAATAAACATGCCTCAGATAAGCACAATTACATGTTCTTAAGTATATACTGAATAAATACAGCTTAAGTTTTATAAACTGCAAATAATACACTTTAAGAACAACACATTAATACACATTTCCCCTTCACAGTGCATGTAGACTGTCTCAATTTCTATATTATCCAACAATACCCACACAAAAAGAATAAAACTGACATTCATTTTAATGTTGATGAATTAGCAAAGTAATATACAGCAGAACAGCATTTAGCTCACCAGCTTAAGTTAAATACACAAGAGATAATGTTAGATCAGATGTTCAGCTATTTTATTAGTTACTTAGCAATGCTGATGTTGGCTAATGCCACTGAGCACTGTCTGGCTCTAGTAACGTTACACAATAATGACGTTTTGACAGCCAAACTAGCCTACATACATTGTGCTAAAAGTTAACAAGCTAGCCAAATAATGTTGTCACATTAGCTTACAGCCACTTCACCTGACTAGTATCCCCCTCCCGGTCACGTTGTCCTCCTCCTGCAGACGGCGACGCGAGAGCTGCAGGTGCTGCTGCGGATGCTGAAGGTCCTGCTTGAGATGCAGCAGCAGAAAATAAATGTGTCAACTTTTGACACTTGGCAGCATCTTCCTGTAGTGCCTGCCTTTTTTTGTTTCTCAACTTCTCTGCTCCTCCTTTCCGTTTCTTCTCCATTTTTGCATGTGTGTATGATTGATTGATTGATTGATTGACAGATGCAGACGGAGGAGGGGCCGAGGCCTTTAGCCTTCGGCTGTGATTGGCCAACAGGACCGAGGTGAAAGGGGTGTGACACACCCATTTGGGCCAATGTTGATTAGCTAGACACTAGAGAAACTGTAAACATTGGTTATCATATTAAAGGCCAGCCCAACTGTGCCGAAAGTCGTTTTTTTTTTTTTTTTCTCAGTCCGGCCGTACCAGCCCACTGACGCAGCGGCCCACCGGGAAAACTCCCGGTACTCTCGATGGCCAGTCCGCCTCTGCCTATTAGTTACAGTACTTTTGTACAATAATATAAATTTGTTTCTAGGTTATATTATTACAGGTTACAATAAGCCACCCAGCAGTATTTAAGTTATTAAAATGACCACCTTTATCTGCTGCAGCATCAGTGTTATTCAAATTCATATATCAGTGTTACACATTAGTTATTAAGGTAAACCTAATTTTTTTTACAATTGGCCCAGGTCTCCCCTATATGAAAATATTGAGTTAGTCTCTCAGAATAATGAGAAACGTTCTGAAAATAACTTAGTACCTTAAAATAATTACTTAAATCATTTCGAAAAAGTTGCTCATTAACAGACTTAAATTTTAAAATTACATCAACATTAATTAAGAGACAAAATCTTTTTTTTTTTTGGTTTATAATATGAAGAATTGTAAAATGTCACTTTTATGTGGTAGTGCAGACATCGACAGTGATGACGTGTTGTTGAATGTTTGCATCAAAAGTTCGTATAGCCCACTTAGTATGATGATGTGAGTGACTGGGAAACCTATTAAGATGGAAACACTCACCCATTCAGAGTGAATGAAAGGGTTCATGGTAATGCTAATTATGTGTTTGAGCTCTCTCACCTTCCAAGATAAACAGGACCACATTATGTCGCATTAGTGAAAGTACTCCACTCCTTTTCAGTTAAACTCTGCAGGCTACGTGCAGCTTGACCATTGTTGAGGCTGTATGTGAAGATGAAATGCCAATTTCAGCCTGAGATCTCTCTCTGACTGACTGACAGCCTCATCCAAGTGACATTTTACAATTCTTCATATTTAAAACTAACGAAATTCATCAGTTTAGTGACATTTTACAATTCTTCATATTTAACACTTACTGTACCTGCATACACATTTTTGTGTTTTTGCAGTGATTTTCACACATAATTTTGAATGTGTTCATATATATGAGCTGATACTTTGAAAGGCTTTGTATTTTTTGGTCAATTTTTTAATTTCACTATCAGCAGTGGCGGTTCTAGGCCAGTTTCAATGGGGGGGCCAA